GACAGGTAGCTGTTGAGGCGGCTACAGTATCCAGACCGTAATTGAGCCAGGGTAACGCGGGTCTCTCTTGGCAGTTGAAGCTCCGTCTCTTTTACAGGTGGTGATTGGGCTCCTATTACGGCATTCATAGGTCGAGAGTCGAGGTAGATGGTAACTGACTCTCTATGAATGTCGTTGATGGCTCGTCTGTATGTCGTCGGGCCCAGTGGTTGGTCTACGTACTGTTGGACTGCGTCCTTGTACACGAATAGGTGCCCCCTGACGTGCCTGGGCGGAGGCTCCTCCTGAAGCAAAGGTCTGTTAGGGTGTTCACTTCTGTGACACCCCACCAGAAATTGCTTACAAAGCATTTTGTTGTGTTCCCTTACGGGGAGCACTTGGGCCTCGCTGTGTGTTCTGACAAGTCTGTAGCTTCGTCCACTGCGTCCAACTAGTCCCCGGCGTCCAAACTGGCGCAGCATAGTTTAGAACCGGCCGGCCAATTGCCTTGTATGTTGCCAGCAAGCGCCTTGAGGACCTTGTTGCGGCTCTGTACTTTATTGACAACTGCGGTTGTGTGCGTGGAGTAGGAGAGCAGGCTATCGAAGGTGACCCCTAAAATTTTCGGGTTGTTTACAGTCGGTATTGGTGTGCCATCGACGTGTATGCCTAACTCTAGCCTGATCTCCTTCGTCCAGTTGGTGACGAGGGTCGCCGTTGATTTCGTTGGGAAGAGTGCTCCTTGCAGTGAAGAAGCGAGACAGGCGGACGCCGAAATCGAGTAATCGTCAGCGAATGAGATCAGGGAAACTCCCTCAGGTGGTTGAGAAAGCTTCGAGATGTAGAAGTTACATAGTAAGGGGGAGAGAACACCACCTTGTGGAACCCTTTGTTTAATCCTTCTTGGTTTCGAGGTTTGATATCGGAAGATTACTGACGACTGTCGACCAGTCATATAATTCGCCGACCATCGCTTCAGTCCCTGTGGGAGTGAGGAGCCCTCGATATCTTCTTATTAGCGTGGAATATCAGACGGTGTGAAACGCCTTTGACAAGTCCAGCGCTACTAGGACCGTTCTCTCACAGGGGCTGTTTCGATTTAGGCCACGAGTTATTTGGGTGTTTGTGGCGTTATGTGCTGTTGTTGTGCTGTGCACTTTACGGAATCCGTGCCGGTGCTTCGCTGGCGTCAGGTGGCAGGTGAAGTATGAGATTTCCACTCTGTCATCACGCTGCGTTGGGTTGGACCTCACGGTTGACCAGAGCTTACTCACACCAGATGTGAAGTTACAGGCCTTTAAGTGCTCCTCCCACTTTTTCCGCTTATGCTGATTTACCAGTTACCGAATCTCCAAATTAAGGTCCCTCAGACGGGGGTCCCCGGGGTCGACCTGGCGTAGGTGGTCACGCTCATTTGCTAGTACAGCCGCTTCGGCCGGGAAATTTGGGCGGACTTTCGCGATACGTCCGGACGGGATGAAGCGAGCCGCTACGGCAGTGACTACCCTGCGGAACTGGCGTTCGCCAGTATGTATGTTTGTGGGTGTGGAAGGGCGACGAAGCTGCTCTCGGTGACTTCCGCGAAGCCGTCCCAATCAGCTTTGTTGAAGTAGGTGTAGGTTCGGTGGTCCGCGGGAGCAAAGCCGGTGGGCTTATTGATCAAGATGATTATGGGTAGATGGTCTGATGCTAGTGTTAGCATAGGTCGCCATGAAATGCTATTCATCAAACTAGCGCTAGGAATTGTGAGGTCTGGCGAGCTGCTGCAGCTACCCATGATCCTGGTGGGGGCGTCGTAGTTCATGGTGCAGAATGTCGAATCGTCTATCTGCTCAGCAAAAAGGTTTCCCCTACGATCATTGGCCAGGCTTGAGTGCCAGAGATCGTGGTGCGCGTTGAAGTCACCTACTACCATTCGGTTTTCACCTCTGCGTAGCGCACCTATGTCAGGGTGATATCCTGCCGGGAAGCAGGTGACAGGGGGTATATAAACGTTGAATATTTCGAGCTCGACATCCCCTGACCGGACAGCTATGCCCTGACATTCTAGGGTGTTGTCCCCCGGGTCGATGCCTTCTTCGATAAGCCGATACCGCACTGAGTGGTGTAGGATGAACGCTAGTCCGCCACCATTATCTCGCTCGCGATCTTTACGGAGCACACTGTAGGCGGCGCAACCTAATAGAGTTGAGTTGCTCTGCAACTTCGTTTCTTGGACCGCAGCTATCAATATGCCATGCCGACCCATAAAGACTACTATCTCCTCAATCTTACTCTGGAGTCCATTGCAGTTAAGTTGTAGGAGTTTCGTATGCCTTGGGAGGCTAGTCGCGATACGTGGGGTGAGAGAGGAGTGAGGTCTACCTTGGGCCTGTTGCATCTGACGCGCTTGCTGTTGCTGCCTGTTGGTAGGTGGCTGCAATGGGGGCGCTGTTGTCTGTGTCAGCGGTGCTCTACAGCATGGGGCGCTGTAGTTCGCAGTCCATTCGCGCGTGGTGCGTAGACTGGAGCATAGGCCGAAGTGACACCAGCCAAGGCATGAGTTTCATTTGACCGATGTCACGTTCCGATATATTCTGCTCTGGCATACGGTGCAGGTGGTGTGTGCAACCAGCAGCTGCTGGTTGGCTGGCACGCGCGAGTTAGACAGGCCGGTAGACTGTGGGGAAGGGGGGTTGGGAGGTTTGCTGCTGCCCAGAGGAGCTTCTCGGAGCCGTGCAGGCTCTTGGGGTGTTGGGTGCGTTGCGCGAGCGGGTAGCCGTGGAGGCTGATTGTGCCGTTTGGCTTGAGCAGCAGGGAGCCACATAGCTTGTGGTCCACTCCCGATGAGACCTAAGACCAGAGCAGGTTCTTAGGTGACTCCATTAGTTGCACGAATTGCACCTAACCGAAGTGGAGTTTGGATGGAGTCGATTCTGGCAAACACAGCAGAAATACGTTTCTGGTCCGGGGTTGGGCTCTACGCCCGCCCGGAGAAGAAGGATGCGGAGCAATCCGGCTGCAAGGAGTTGCTCCATGGACGAACAATGATTGAGGGGTATCGCCGCTCTAAGCGGGGTTAGGTCGCTGAAACTGTCCGTCATCTATTACAGTCGATCGACTACGGATGCAGAACGACGCTATCACAGCTACGAATTGGAGTGTCTGGCTGTGGTTGAGTCCTTGGAGAGAATGAAATATTATATTCAGAAAAAACCAATCACAGTTGTGACTGATTGTAGCGCCATTCGAACAGTTATGATAAAGCGCGAGTTAGTTCCACGCATTGCGAGGTGGTGGCTCCGTATACAAGACTACGAAGTTAAAATCGAACATCGGGCGGGCATTTTGATGGATCACTTTGATGCGTTGAGTGGGTCCCCCGTTGAGCCTTCGCGGGAAGTAGAACCAGCGTCACTACGAATTGGCAAGATCAGCGTTGACAGTGGTGACTGGCTATTTAGCTTGCAACACCAAGACAGTAAATAAAAGCGATTATGGACACGATGAAACAGCAGAACGTTACCAAAATGGACGGTTATCACCTTGACAATGGAAGACTCTATCGATTAGACAACAATAAGAAGCTTTGGGTTGTTCCTAATTCTGTTCGTTATAGAATACTTCACGAGTCTCATGACAAAGCAGGTCATTTGGGCGCAGACAAAACGATTGACCGAATTAAGCAGAATATGTGGTTCCCTCGTATGCGCAATTTCACTAAAGCATATATCAACTCCTGCGTCGACTGTGCATACAACAAGAAACCTAGCGGAAAAAAGGAGGGGGAGCCGAATCCGTTCAAAACGATCCATTTGGGCCCTTTTCCACGAAGCAGTTTGCGAAACGAGCATGCCTTAGTTATCGTAAACGCGTTCACAAAATTCACGGTAGTCCGTGCTGTCAAAAGCACCGCAACAAAACATGTAATCGACGTACTCAATGACGTATTAAGTTATTTCGGCACACCAAGCCGACTGGTCACGGATAGAGGCACTGCCTTTACATCGCACACATTTAAAACGTTTTTCTCTGACAACTATATGGTACACACACTTAACGCTGGTCGCACACCGAGGGCTAAAGGTCACGCGGAACGTGTGAACCGAACATTAACCTCCATGCTAAGAACAACAACGACCATCGACAAACGATGGGATATGAATTTACGCGACATACAGTGGTCCCTCAACACAATGACCAATGACACCACAGACAAAACTCCTCACGAATTGCTGTTTAATTATCAACCTCGTGATACACTACGAAATAAAGTCGTTCTTACGTTACAGTCTGACGAAGCGACTTGTACTACAGACATCGAGTTTATCCGACAAACTGTTGCAGATTACAACGCAACGAGAAAAAGTAAAACAACGATTTGATCGTCAGCATACTAAGCCGAAAATATATATATATGATATTGTATTAGCTGAAAGCGAAGTGAGTAGTACTGGTGTCACGTAAATTAGAGCCACGCTTCAAGGGGCCTTTTGTCGTTGCCAAAGTTCGCGGTAACGACCGCTATGTAATTGAAGACCTTCCTGGTTCTCGACGTTCACAAAAACGCTACTCTACCGTATTTTCGTCCGCAAATCTAAAACCATTTAATTATACATTTCCTGACAACGATAAC